ATGCAAAATGTACATTCACTTCGGCTAACACTTTGGTAGTTCCTTAAAACTCAACTACATACTCATGTGATGCAATCATTCAAATCCTAGATGTTTATCCAAGAGAATGAAAGCATTGCCTACACAAAGGCACTCCAATAGTCTAGCAGTTTCATTTATATGAGCTAAAATCCAGAAGCAACACAGATTCATCAGGTGAATCCATAAACAGATTGTTGGACATCGATATAATGGAATTCTCTTTGGGATAAAATGAAATGAACACTAAAATATGGATGACTCTCAAAATAGTCATGCTATGCAAGAGAAACTATACAAAAATGTGCATATTCTGTATGATTCTATGTGGATTAAATTCTATGAAATGCAAACTAATCTAACAGTGATGAAACGGGAAGAGCTGCTTGACAAACATGGAGTATGTGGAGAGGGACATGGGGAAGAAAGGGTGACAAGACATTACCAAGTAGGGCACTGCAAAAGCCTATTCCACATGAAAGAATAAATGGGCAAAAGCTGTGGGTATCAACCTGCTAGGAATCCTGAGATCTATTCTAGTGTGGTAAGCGGGGGGAACGTGTCATCAAGGTAAAAGGAAGTCAATCTTTGTAAGGAAGCTTAGTGATTTTGTGACTCACCCTGGCACTATTCCCCTCTCCAACCCGATGGCCACAGCAGTACCTTGTACCCAGCAGTACAGGGGTCAGAGTGGATCTTATTCTCAAATAACTGTGGGTTTATGCTGATCTGCCTGGTGGTCCCTGGAGGGCTCACTCTACCTCACCTAAGCAGAAACCCTCCTGAGACAGAGGCAGCTCCCTTGAATTTGAATTCCTTCTGAATCTGTTGAAAACGTTCCATGGTAGTGCAAGAACTGGTCTTGCCCAAGGAAAGAGATCACAGGTAGGAATCGATGGACTGACTTAAAAACCTGCAGAGAAAGTCTAAGGAATGGGATGCTTTGGAGAACAAACTCTTTGCAAAGTGGCCACAGAGCCTGAGGAATCCAGAAGATCATGCACATAATCAGGAGTGGCGTATGCACAGGAAATACACACAGAAGTCCTAGTCTCTGCCTCTGGACAATTTCAAGTCTCTGTAGAGCAGGAAATGAAGCTAAGGCAAAATTTTAAACTCTCTGGCTGAGTATTGAAGGTGTGTACACACACGTGCATGCACGTACACATACAGACACACACACATACACACAGAATCCACCTGCAAACACTGAGATTTTCTTTTCTTCTGGTTAAAATAATCTCTGTCAATAACTCACTGACCATTATTCTAATGGGACATACATCTAAAGTGACATATGACAAAGGGTACCCACTTTACAAAGCAAGTACAGAAATGTCACAAAGTAACAAATGATGACTGAAGTAACAAAATATTATAAGGTTGAGGGAAAATCTGATTTTCAGAGTTGCCATAGCATAATATGAAAAATATCCAAATTTCAACAAAAAAATCTGAGGTGTGCAAAGAAATTATGGCAAAGAGATTAAAAAAGTAATTAAAAGAAACTATCCTCAAGGAAGTCCAGATAGCCTTTAAATCAACTCTTGAAAGAAAAACCACATGCACTGAACTAAAGGAAACAATGAACACAAAGAAATACAATAAATACTAATTTATAAATAAACATATATATAGTATATATTCAATAAAGAAAACAAAGTATAAAAACTCAAATAGGAATTCTGAATTTGAAAAGTACAGTAACAAAAATGAAACATTCACTACTGGGGTGCCACAGTAGATTTGAGCAAACAGAAAAAGAATTAAACTTAAAGACAGATCAGTGGAAATTATACAGGCTAAGAAGCAGGAAATAAAGAGAAATGAACTGAGCTGAAGAGACCTCACTCTGGGAGGCTAAGGCAGGAAAACCACAAGTCTGAGCCTCTCCTGGGCAACTGAGTGACTTAGCAAGAACTCAAAATCAAAAATGAAAATTTTAAAAGGGTCCAGGATACTGCAAAGGCCATGGCTCCAATCACTACTGCTGCTCCTGCTGCTGCTCCTACTAATACCAGTACTACTCACACACACAGAAGAGGCAGAGAGACAGAGACAGAGAGGCTGAGATTTGTGGGATATCACCAAACATATCCATATGCAGATGAGGAAAATCTGAGAAGAAGAGAGAAAGGGATTTTTAAAAAAGATACTTAAATAGACAAAAATTCCCAATGTAATGAAAGATATGGATCTACATATTCAAAAAGCTCAATGAACAATAATTACAAATCCATGTTAATGGGTACACAATGTAGCAAGCAATGCATTTCGTGACAATAACACGGGGAATGTGGTTATATGGGATCACAGTTTTTGTACACTCTAAACTTAGGGTGGCACTAACACTAAATAAACTATTACAAATTGAGATGTTCATTGGAGTCCCCTGGACAACCTAACTTCAGAGAAGTCAGTCGAAGAAACATGACTGAAGAAAAGGCCAGGTGATGGTTAAAAGAAAGTCACAAAACCACCCATTCTGGGTTCAGCTGACAATGTATAATAGTTTACTGCTGTTATCGTCCAAAACCTACAAATAATTTATTTTTAATCTGAATACAAAACAGTTGCACATTCCTGATTACCAGTGCAAGGATTGTACTGCTTTCTACCAAATGCACTGAGGCATTTCAATTGCTATTCTGTTAAATTTGGGATTTTATTATTTGTCATCATCAAGTGAAAAGCTCAGAAATAGCTTCTTGAGAAAGCACAAATTGTGGACAAAGTATAGAAATAGCCAATTATCTGATGACCGTGTATACTAACAATTTCCTTACAGTTAAAAAAAAAGTGGTGGCTAAACAGTGTTTTCAATAAATGGTGCAGGGAAAATTAAAATTGTCCATAGGCATGCAAAAAAAATCAACTTGGACCACTGTTCATCATACAATAAATTAATTTTAAATGAAAGAAGACCAAAAGTAAGCACTAAACTCAAAACTCTTATTTTTTTAAGTGTAAAATTTCATGACCTTGGATTTGACAATGTTTTCTTAGATAAGACACCAAAAATGTAAATAGCAAAAGGAAATAAAGATAAATTAGACTTCAGCGAGATTCACAATATTACACATCAAAATACTACACAGTCAAGACAATGGAAAACAATGAACAGACTGGGCTAAAATGCCTGCAAATCATATAGTATGTAAGGAACTTACTCGGGACTGGTTATTTGTGTTCCTGCAAAATTCTTATCTTGAAATCCTACCTGCAAGTTGACAGTATTAGTGATGAGTCCTTTGGGAGGTGACTAGCTCCGTTATACAAACAAGCCAAAGAGCATGCCCCTGCTGCTGTCCTCCATGTAAGAACAGACATGAAAAGACAGCCACCTCTGGACCAGAAAGCAAGCCAGCAGCGGACACCAAATGCACCAGCACCTTGATTTTCAATTCTCCGGTCCATAGAACAGTGAAATGTATATTTCTATTATTTATAAAGCACCCACACCACGGTATTTTGTGAGAGCACTTTGAATAGATTAACTAGTTCTATATCTGAATGGAATAAAGAATGATTAAAATCTCATTACAGGAAGACAAACAATCTAATTTTTTGGGTGGAGAAAGGGATGAAATAGACACTTTTCCAAAGAAGATATAACAAGAAGCCGGGACCATACACACACACAAAAATGCTCAAAATCTGAAGGCACTAAATAGGTAGGAACCTCAACCGTAACAAGCAAGCCCTTCACAATACGATAGCTATAATTAAAAAGAAGGGGGAAAGTGCTGACAAACAGACAGATACACTGGAACTCTTATACCTGAGTGGTAGGAACATAAACACCATAGCCACTATGGAAAGCATGTCTGCTTCTCCTCAAAAAGTAAAACACAGGATTGTCACATGACGCAAAAGACATCCAAACAGAAACACCTGCCCACAAACCCAAAGCAAAATTATTCCTAATAGTGCAAGAGTGGCGGAAAAATCCATCAAGTGATAAATGGATGGACAGTATTAAGTTCATGCATGCAATAGAGTCTTAAGTCTTAAAAAGAATGAATCCTGATGCACACTACAAGGACCAATTTTGCAGACATCCTACATGAAAAGATCCAGCCACAATGGTTATCTGTTGAGTGATTCCATTCATAAGCGTTCAGAAGAAATAAATCCACTCCAATGGAAAGCCTATGAGAGACTATTGGAGGCTGAAGGGAGAAATGGGAGAGATTATGGTGTATAAGGCCTTGTTTGGGGGAAATAAAAATGTCCTTGCATCAGTAGTAATGGTTGCATAATTCATGACTGTAAGAAAACTTCAAATAGTGAACTTTATCTTATGTGAATTTTATGCCGGTTTTTAAGAGAAACAAGGCTCAAATTCGCTGGTGCAGCTGAGCACTTGAGAGAGGATTGCACAAAGCTCCGCCCAAGAAACATTTCCACTGCACAGGCCGCACTGGCCCTCAAGATGGCTCCTCTCCTCCTGGTCAGGGCGGGCTCCTCTGCTCAGCAACCTTCTCCCAGTGGCTGTACCTCTTCCACTCCGAGGACACGGTCTCCCAGGCACTGCAGCAAGGGCAGGCGGGGACAAGCTTTTTTTGTTTGTTTGTTTCCGTTTTTGTTTTTGTTTTTGCAACGCTCCAGTTAGGGGTGCAGCCCCACAAGCCTGCCTCTCACATTTCTGCCTGTGGTTGTGGGAGAGAAGGGACAGCGGCCGACACTGGGGCATCTGGCTTGCAGCCCGCCCTCAACGCTTGTCCCCTCCATGTAACCCTGGGTCACAGGTGTCCATGGTCTCCCAACCCAGTGGCGTGGCCTGCCCTACAGTCCTCGGTCCCCCTGCACAGGCTCCGGGATCATATCATGGGACACCCTGCCTCACGTCCCTACCACCACGGTCACTGCTCTCCCCTCTAGCAGCCCCTATGGCAGTTGGCCTCTGCAAAGGTGGAAAGTTCTGGAAGCATCTGGAAGGTGCGTGGGGAGGAAGCATGGTTTCTGATTGGCTGCAGGGGTGGGCGTGGCAGGCAGGAGCAGGGCCTCTGATTGGCGATCGGTGGATGTGTCGATATGGGCGTGGCTAACGTCCAAGGTGCCCTGGGCGGTTGGTTATTCTCCCGTCTTTCTCACCTCGATGCCCCGACAACCTGATATGTCTGCTCCCTGGGCGCCAGGAGATGGGGCGACCTAGAAAGCATGGCCACCACCCGCATCGCTCCTGGGACATCTGTGGAGCAGCGCGGTGCCCTCGGAGGCCAGGGCCTGCTGTCACAGCATCTTAATCTGTGTTCCCCAGAGGCTCATGAGACAAGGTGGGGCAGGTCACGGGCCCTCCTCGCGGGCAGCGCGGGGCCGAGGGCTGCGCCTCACGCCTGTCGTTTCTGCCCCGCAGCTGCTGCCCGCCCGTAGCTCGCCGTCGCACTGCGTGGAGGCCCGGAAGCTGCCGTCTGCGGAGGCTCCGTGCGGCGCCTCCACGGTCCCCCCAGCCCCCGCTCCTCTCCACGCTGAGGCCTCGCCATTTACCATCAGCTTGGAAACCGGGCCCTTCGTGAGGCGCTTGCTGCCTTTCCTGTTCCTTCGGGCTCCGCGCGGCCTTCATCAAGGAGGTCAGCGGGTGGGAGCCCGGCCGGCCACCCGGCTCCCCCGCGTGGCGCCCCTCCCCAGCGCTGCTGCAGCCGGGCTGAATAAAGGCTGCTCCGCGACCCGCGCCGTGAGGCCGTGCTGATTCCGCCGGTGCGGGGCGCCGAGGGTGGTGGACACTGGGGGGGGGGGGGGGCCGAGGGCGTCACCCGCCAAATGCGAGGTCCTCCAGACCCTGGTGCTGGGGAAATGGTGGTGCACAGGGAGGCCCTGGAACCTGCAGTTTGTATGTTTATAACTTTGTTCTTCTGCCTTTGAGGAGAAAGGGAGACCGAGAAACCGACTGCCAGCGGGAGGCGTGGTGCCCAGCTGCAGGCCTGCAGGGGTGCGACTCACTCGCACGTCACGGTGGGGGCGGGGGCGGAAGTCGGAGCGGAGCACTCCCCGGCCACAGAGTGGCCCCGTGGCCCCTTCCCCCTCTCCTCCTCCGGCTTTTCCCTGTGTCAGGACACCAGAGCTGAGGGAGACAGCAAGGACACCCCAGCCCCCTAGGCTGGGTCTCTGCTGTGCTTTCTGCCCCAGTGATGGGCACGGAGGAGCTGAGAGGTGTCTTGGAGGGCGCCGGGGTGGAGCAGGTGTGAGGAGCCATGCAGACCCAGAGCCCACCTCTACTAGCTCTGAGCTCCTGGGAGCCCTGGCTTGAATCCCCTCTGTTCCCTCCCAGAAGGAAAAGCAAGAAGCCGTCTGTAATTAGAAGACAGCCACTGGGCTGGGGTGCTGAGGACCAGAGGAGGGCTTATTTGGAGACTTGTGATCTTTTGCAGCTCTGAGAGATTGGGCCTAATAGACACGTAATGATCAGCAGTGCCGGGAAACTGATAACAGTGTTATCATTGATCCCTTACATTAATTATGAGCTGGTGGCTTCTGGAATCCTGCAGCTTGTGTGGCTCTGTGTTGCCCAATCATTTACAACGCAATAATTCTTGAGAGACACAGACACCAGAGTCCTTTTGCATTTACAGATTCTGTAACCAGGAAAAGGACTCCACTCTCTTGCATGAGAGCCCTTGTCCTGGCTGGGGAGGGGACCTCCTCTCTGTGCAGCTGTCCTGCCTCAGGGTCATCTTACCTCTGCCCTCCCTTCAGCCTCCACCCTTCAGAAACATGTGGCTTGGGAATTAGTTGGTACTCAGATTGGCAGGACAGATCTTTGGGAGCTAAAGTGCAGCCTTGCACTTCTGTCTTTAGGAGACACTGGGCCAGCAAAGAGAGGACCCTAACAATTCGCTCAATACGTTCTTCCCATGGTGCTTTTCATGTTAGGCTCATTCTCAAGTGGCATGATACCTTCCAGAAAATACACTGAAATCCGCATGTCCCTTAGGTAACTCAGGAGCAGCTCCAGTTATTGACCACCCTGCCCTCCCCCTAACCAGCCATGTGACCTGCAGCAGTGTCTCAGTCTTCTGGGCTGTGAAAGGAATGATGGGAAAATCCCTGTGTCGCAGGGATGGGTAAGGTCTACTAGGAAGAATGCATGGGAGGAATACGAGATGTGGCCACGATGCTTAGTGACACGAGTTCTCTCTTCCCTGTTAGGACAAAAAGGCAAAGTGCACTGAGTCCTGTGCCCCTGATTCCCCTGCCAGGCTGGCTGAGGCCAATCTGGAGCCCCTGACATTTTCTGCAAATCCCTGCCATCTTGTGTACAGCCTTCCTCCTCCCAGGAGCTTGACTGCTAAGACAAGTCTCCAGCCATCCCTCACATACCTGGGAGAAACAAATGGGTTGCACAAATGAGGCTGCTGCCTTAGGGCTCCCATGTTCATGGAGAAATAGTCCTTCTTCCCTGGCCTGCACACACAGATGGAGGCACAGCCCAGTTTCCAGAGCCCCTCCCGCAGTAGGTGGTAGAGATGGGTAGGAAATCTTTGCTGCCTCCTGCAGGAGGTGCCAGAGCTTCAAGGCAGACAGGACTAAGACCCAGTCCTGGGTGTGACTGAGATGTTGTGGTGGACCCAACTTGGCTGCTGGCTTCACTACCTAGAGGCTTCACTACCACAAGGACAGTCGAGGTGGAGCTCACCTTTCAAACCTGTCCCCTTCCTCTCCTCTAGACCTGGATGGTAGAGGACCAGGCTCTTGGACAGGGCTTCACCTTGTTTTCTGCCCTGCGGCAGCAGCCAGCTGTGGCCGGGTCTCCAGTTCTGGGGCCAGAAGACTTAAGCCTGAGACTTAAGTCTGCCTCAGGAAAACGGGAAAAATAATAACTTGGATCATCAGTTTGGGAAACCTGTAAAGTGGAGAAAGCAGAACACGCATAGCACAGTTTTAGGCAGCAAATGTGAAAGGACTTTTCCCAAGCTGTGTCCACTCTGTGTGTGATGTCACGCATCCCTGAGTGTCAATGTGCCGGGTTCTGTCTCTTCCCTAGGCCTCTGCAGATGAGACTAGAGGTGGGCAGTGAGGAAGCCCAGCTGGCCCGCCCTGAGGTCAGCACTTGCTGCTGAGCCCACTCAGCTTTGATTTGGGATGGAAAGCAAACTGGAGCCCTGCTCGTTTTTGCCTTGTGCTAGACGCTGACCCCCTTTTTTCCCTAGACTGGGGGAGGAAGGAAGACCTTAAGGTGCCAGAGAAAGATGCCAGCCAAATCCAGCCTCTGCATCCCTGCTGGTTGAAGCTGGAGGAACCGAATGGTTTCTGTGATTTCTCAGAAGGTGGGATCTCCCCAGAACCTCAAAAATGTGGAAGAATTGGGCCCCCCATCTCCTCCCAGAGGTATCAAAGTTAGGCAGAGTGGGTGGCCCTGGGCTGCATCATAATCCCATGAGCTTCTGGGGAGGGCTCCCCTGCTCATCATGTGCGGGACCCCAGCCCACAGTCACCCTATGGGCAGAGCCAGGCTCTTCCTGGTTGATCTGGCCAGCAGGTAGAAAAGGCTGCTACCCTAAAGGAAGGAAGAAAACCAGGGGAGGGTGTGGTGGCAATGACTGTGCCACTCCAGAGCCTAGGTGGTGAAATTTTAGTTGTTAGTGCTCATCCTGACACAGGTTTAGGGGGATCATGGATTGGAAAATCATCAAGGGCCAGAATTACTGTCCTTACCCAGCAGTGAGGCCTAGAATTTTCCAGGTACTTCTAGCTGCTACTGGGATTGTGACTGTGGACCATGAAGGTGTATGGAGCTGTGGAGGTCACTGTGTCCCTCCTCCTTCCTCGCCTCAGGGGCATGGAGACCAGCTCTGGTTTAGTGAGGGACCGACAACCCCCTGAGGTTTGCCTAGCTGGGATCTGGGCTTCGTATCTACTTTCTGACATCTTCAGACCATGGAAATCTTGGGACTTTAGGAGTTGCTGTCTGTCTGGGCTTTAGATTTCCCACATTGGAGACATAACCATCAGGCCTTGGTCTGCCTGGTCACAGAGGACACCCCTCCCCTGCACCCACCTTGGATGGATGCTGAAATTCATCATGCATGATTTTCTTGTAATAATATTAATTAGAGTTTTCATGGCTATTGAACAGGGAGGGGATTCCAATACCTATTGAGGGCACTGGAGTGGATGACTTCTGATAGCTTTTACCATCCCTGAGAGTCTAGGATTCTGACATACCTAATATTGTCATTAACATGTTATAATTTATAATTACGTTTTCAATGCTGTGTGTCATTAATAAGAATGGCTGTCATCACTCTGCCTTTCTCATTTGCTGTGTGAGCTGTGTAACTCCATGGTACACTGCAGGTGAACTGGCTGAAGTCAACATGCACCACTGACATTGTCCTGGAAAGGAAACTGAGGCAGGCAACAGGCTCCTAGCTTTTCTGCCCCACTGCATAGGCCCTCTCCACAGGAACCACTGCCCCTGCCTTGAGTGGCCTAGGACCCCACAGTTCCCTGAAGCCACCCTCCTCGCTGTCTTGTTCTCCCCATGTACCTCTCAGAGCATCCTAGGACATCACTAATCAGCCCTTGTTTGTCCAGCTGCAAGCTTTCAGTTCTTTCTGGTACCTGGTAGGACCCAGAGCCACCTACTCCCCCATGCCAGCTCCAAATTCCTCCCTACCAGATGTGTCAAGATTTTAGAAGTTAAAATCTAGAGATTTCTTCTAGCCCAAGATGCCCACCTTGGGCTATGTAGCTCTGGCCGGGCCATTTGTCCATCTCTTCTTGAACAGCACTTTTCCTAGGGCTGCAACTTGTCCTGAAATGAATGAAAACAACTCACCTTTGTGTAAGCAAAGATTTAGACTGTGGTGGCAGTGCACAAGCCCTCAGAGGCTCGCACTGCTGCATTGACTTTCACCCAGAGTCAGAGTGTGGGTGCTGGCATCCAGGGGTCCACAGAGCACACATACCTTCCTCCTCATTTCTCCTGCTGGGCTCAGTCTGCTGAGAGCCAGGGCTCACAGGCTGAGGTTCAGGCCTTGGATGGGAACCCTCACAGTTCTGCAGCCCTGACCTACAGCTCTGTAGGCAGTTTCAAGGCCCGGCTCTAGCAGTCCCAAGCTGGCCGGTGCCACCCTGGCCATGTCCAACCCTTCTCTGCATGTAGGCCTCTCTGCTGTTTCAATCACAGGTTGGGATAATCTGTAGAAAGCTTCTAGAAAATACATGGCACATAGGAAACTCAATAGCTGTCAGCTATGATGAGCAATTTAATTTTGTGGTTCAATATCAATTGAAAATGTCAACTTTATGTCCAGCTGATGAAGGTGCAGGGAATTCCCACAATTAGTGTAGGTAGGTAAGCCAACCAGGCTGTCTTTGATGGACAGGCAGACTTACGTCAAGAATCAGGAGTGGGTGGGGAAGGCCTGACAGAGGACCCAGGAGGGAAGGAGCCGGAGGGAACTAAGGGCAGCAACTGAGAAGTCAAATCCCTTCCTCTTGGCTGGGCCTTCTCAGATGGTGAGCAAGATACTTGCTGAGTACCAGGACGTGGATTCCAGGACAGTAGGGACACGTGAGATGCTGTGGTTTTGCTGCCTGAGAACAGTACCAGGTCAGCTAAAAGAGGTAGCCATGGTTTAAGGATGTAGTCTGGGGATTCAAGGCAGAGAGAGCTTGCAGCATTGCTGCTGGGTGTGCAGGGAACCCCAGTGAATGTGTGTTAGAGGAGGTACAGATACGGATGGGTGGGTGACCATCAACTCACCAGATGGACAGGCTGATATGGGCCCAGGGCCCTGGGAGGTTGGCCAGAGGGCTGTCTGGCTGTAGATCAGATGGGATTGGGAATCTGGATGGGCTTGGGGATCAGTGAACTTCCAGCCCCACCCCGTGATCAGTAGGGTAGGAGAATCCAATGGCAGGATCCATTGACATCTCAGAAAGGACGGGATCACACCTCCCCTTCCCTGCCCCTGCCTCAGACTCATGTTGGCGAGAGAGGTGGGGGAGCACCCTGGCTCTGTCCCCAGCAGCACCAAGTAGCCAGTAAGATAGGCCAGGAGCGAGGAAAAAGCCTGTGACCTGGACTTGCCTCCCCGGAGTTGAGAAGAAAGATGCCAGTGGTCATTCAAACTGCAGACGGGGCCACTGCTGTCAGAATATCCTAAATGGCTGTGATGGGGGCCGCAGGATGGTGTTAGATGTTTGGAAAGTGTGTCAGTTTCCTCCTCTAGAAACTGCAGGGAGGGAACCCACAGGCCTGTCATAAGTACTGCCTGGCTGGGACATGGAGACCTTAATTATAAGATGATGGAAGATGAGAAACTACAATCTTTGGTTTAAAGGCTGAAAGCACAAATCGATATTTTCAAACTGCAAAGGGGGCAAGGTTCCTTTTGCATGGGTGGAGAGTGGCTTGGATGGACCAGGTTCTGCTGCACACAGGTAGAAACCGCCGGTCTCTAGCTGTGAAAAGCTGTCCCATCACAACAAGCTTTCCTCCTGCCAGCCACAACACTTAGAGGGGCAGCATGGGAATCTAGGTAAGATTTCAAAGCTGCATGCCCAGGTTTTGGCTGTTTTTGGTTTTTTTTTTTGTTTTGTTTTTTGTTTTTTTGTCTTTTTTTTTTTTTCGTTTTTATCAGTACCAGGGATCGAACTCACGACTGCCTGCTTGCAAGGCAGGTGCTTATGCCGCTGAGCTAAATCCCCAGCCCCGATTAAATGACGCTTTCTAGCAGTGGTTTGCAGGCATCCTAGTGACCTCAAGGCCACTGGAAGCCCTGCCCTGCTGCATCCGCCTGGAGACCTTCCTTGCTGCCACGTGGAGATGAGAAGACCAGGAGCAGCCACGCTGCTCTGAAGGGAAATCAGTGCCACAGTCCAGCCCTTCCATTTCCACGGTAGGGACCCCGGTGCCGCACCCTTCTGCTTACCTGGCTGAAAATGCCACCCACTGAAACCACAGAAGGATCACCAGGCTCTCTTGGAATTTCAGCATTGTTATATTAGAGAAATGAAAAACATTTTGGGGTAGCGGGAACCTGAGGCCGGGTCATTATCTAGAGCCAGGGCAGGACCGGCACTGTCTCAGTCATCTCTGTCTCCTCTGCCACAGGTGAGGAGCCAGGTGTCCAGTGAGCCTGACTGGGACAGGGCTTTGGAGCCCAAAGTGGAGAGGAGATGAGTTTGGTCCTAGACAAATTGGTGTGGGTGTCTTAGTTCTGGGGGAAGAAGTCACAGGCTCTCAGGGCAGAGGGGACCCAGTGAGACTGGATAGGGAAGCTCCTTAGCCAAGGGACCCCTGGAGGTCACCAAGAGGGGAAGGAGTGAAACTAAGGCTTTGCAACCAGGCTGCTGTGTAATACTGGGCCAGTGACTTAACCCTGCTGAGGCTCAGGGGCTTCATCTGTAAAATGGGTGTGAAATCTCCCTGGAAAGGACATAGGAAGGAGCAGCGAGGAGCATGTGAAGCCCCAGCGCAGTAACGGAGCTGTAGGGACTCAGCTGAGGTGGTTTCTGTTACTTCTTGAAAGCTGCCCCTCCAAGCCAGCTGAGTGTCCAGAGCCGCCCCATCCAATACGGCAGCCCGTGCCGGCCCCCGGTGGTGCTCAGGTGCTTTAAAAGCCAGTGGTCTGACCTGCACTGGGCCACAAGGTGAAATACACACCTAACCTCCAAAACTTGCTACAAAACGACTGTGAGCTACCTTTTTACAAACTTAAGTGACTGCATGTTACAATAATGCTTTCACTATATTGGGTAAAATAAAATATATTACTATTAATTCCACCCATTGGTGTGTATTACAATGCAGCTATAAGACAATATAAAGCCTGATGTGGTTGCTCATGCTTCTAATTCTAACAGTCTGGGAGGCTGAGGTAGGAAGATGGCAGGTTCCAGTCCTGTCTGGACAACATAATGCCTTGTTGACACTCAGACATATTTTAAAGGACTGAGGCTGTAGCTCATGGCTGTGTTCAATCCTCAGTACTGCAAAAAATAAATATATATGTGAGACATTTATAAATTATAATATGAATAAAATAAATGAATAGAATGTATATTTATAAACAATAGTATACACATTGTAAAATCTATAAATATGTATTAATAAATTATAAAATAAGTAAAATGTGTAAATATACTACGTGCTTATAAATGTATATAAATTTTTAATGTGTATAAATTTTAATGTAGCCCATATTTTATTCTCTTGGGCAGCATCTGCACAGAGTTGGGACACTGTGTTCCACAAGCTCTTTTGTTTCTACACCTTGGGTTTGGGTGTTCGGTTGGTTCTTTCCTAGCTGCCAAGAAAAAGACTTTTTTGGGGGAAAAAAAAACCCAACATGCCCCACCCCCAGTGGGGCAGCTACCGTGCACCCCTAGTGGCCAAGCGTGGTAGTGACCACAGTTGGGAAAAGAAGGGCTGGTGGCCAGGGAGCCTGTTAGGGTCCAGGGGAGGGGCTCCTCCCTCCTCAGCCTTGCGGGGTCGCGTCAGAGTCTCCTGCCTTTGTTCCAGAAAGACACCCCAGCCTCCATTTGCACACCCCCTTACCTCACCGTCACACTTGGCAGCTAGCGAGCTCAGCCACCAGGCAGTCGCAAACACAGGTGCGAGGGAAAATGCCACTTCGAAGTCATCTTTAGAAAACCCAGAGTTTCCAGAGAAATGAACAGCAGACATTCATAGACAGGAGAATGTTCTTTTTCTTCCCCCTCCCTCCCAGGAAATGTTAGCGGTTGTTTGGAAACTGTCTATGTTGCGGTATGTTCTTTTGAGAGAAGATGGGCCTTTATATTCTGACCCCAAGGATGCTGCTGCCCCGAACCCCAGTCAGAACATGACAAACACAAGAGCAGGTGCAGATGGTGCCAGGACACAGCCGGGAGCCAAGGACAAGGACCACCGGAGGGTTGGCACTCCCCTTCTGCCGGTCTCCACGTCCCCTCTGTGTGTCTGACCCCAAGACAAACAAAACATGGTGTTAGAGACCATTAGAGACCCAGGATGGCTGCACTGTGACAGGGGCATGGGAAGGAGCCAGGCGAAGAGCGAGGGCGGGGACGGGAAGGCAGGGCAGGGGAGGCTCCCTTTCCAGTCCTCTGGTCCTGTGGGTGTCTGCCATGACCAGGAAGGGACAGCCGCCATCGTGCTGGGACAGGCTGTGGCCTTGACCTGAGAGACTGACCTGGCCCGTTCTTGACCTTGTCGGGACCAGCAGAGAACGGGAGAAAGCAGAGGGCAGCAGGAAGAAAGATGAGAGGGTGGAGGGAAAAGGAGAGAGGGAAGAGTGAATCCGGAGATGAGGGAGAGGCAGTGCGTTGGCCAGAGCAGAGCCCGAAGGAGGCAGGGCCGAGGAGCGACATGGACGCAGCCAAGGGTGTCCACAGCACTTCTCCGAGGGCAGGGCGGGAATGTGGGGGAGGGGCCAGAGAGCGGGGCTCGCAGAGGTCGGACACACTGTGGACACGGTGCTGCCCCAGCTGGACAAAGGAGACAGGGTCACGGGTCCCCAGCCCCTCCCCAACGAGGTAGGCGGCTTGGCCCTGCCCTGCTGGTCGCTAATGCACTTGGGCCTGGGGCGAGGTTCTGATGCTACGGGGGAGAGGGAGGAAGACACAGGGAGAGGGAGGCCCACAGACACCTCAGCTGTGGTTCTGGAAGGGTTGGCTCCCCCAAACCTTACAATGCACCCTCTGCCACGGCACGGTGCTCCCGGGGCCACCGGGCTGACCCCACACCTTGGAGTTGGGAAAAGCAAAGGCATCTTTCACTGGAAGGGCGTCTGAAGGCTTTCAATACTATTTGGTGAGTTAGGAAACTGAGGCCCAAAGAGAAAAGGGCTCACACACATTATTCTTGTGGCTCTGGGTCTCAAGCTTGGAGCTTTGGGCTCCAAGGCCACTGCCTGCCCTCCCCATCCCACGCTACTTTCCAGAAGTGAGATCTTCTTGGTCATCACAAGCCCACAGGGACTTTCCTCCCGTCTCCCTAGCAAGAAAAGCAAATTGCCACAGCGGCCCCAGAGTCACTTCCCTTGGGCCTGCAGCAGGGACCCCTCCTCTCCTTCCAGTGGGAAGCCCCGGAGGAAGTGCTTAGGTCTGGCCTGAGCTCTGGGTAAGGGTGTCAGCCTCAGAGCAGGTCACTCATGCCTCCCAAAGTGGGGTGGGGTGGCCCTGGGCAGGGCACTCAGCAGCCCTCCCCAGATAAGACTAGAACCAGTTGGCCTTTGGCAATGATCGCCCCCTACTGGGGCTGCTGGGCACATCCGATTCCCCTTACCCGTGTGAAAGACGAAGAGGAGTCTGGGAAATGGAAAAAAAAATAAATTCAGAAATAAAAGCAACACTGGACCCATAAGCCATCCAAAGCCACTTGCGTGTCGCTACATTTGTGATCGGAAAGGCGAACTCTTGCCTCTCCAAACACTCGGGGCTCAGTCCGATCGTTGAGGGAGTCCGAATTCCCTGAGCACACCCCGCTGGGTGGTGGGGACAGGCCTGGGAAGGTGACATGGACGGAGGAGGGGCGGTGGCCGGGCAGGGAGGACAAGAGGCTGTGGACAGGGAGACGAAACTGTCCCTGGATGTAAACATCACCATGGAAACGCCACGAGACTGGCCAGTAAAGATCCTTCCCCTTCCCCTCCCCCTCCGCCAGGATGGGAGGGGTGGCCCTGGCTACACGGTGCTCTCCATCACCCACTCAGAGCTGCCGAAGGTCCCCCGGGCTCCCACCAGGTCACTCTCCTCAAAGGGCAGGAGCATGCCATTGACGGAGAGGCTGCGCTTCGTCCAGATGTGTGAGACCCGCCGAGGGGGGCTGTAGCCGCCGGGGACCACCCCTCCTGTGGCAGCCGCAGCAGCTGCAAAGTCCCCCATGTCGAAGGAGTGGCTGCGCTTGGTCTTTCCCTCCAGGGGCAAGGGGAGCAGGCTCCTGGCACGGGCGGCTGGGGGCCCCAGCAGTGGCTCCCGGTCTGAGTGGCGGCCTCTGGCCGGTGTCCCACCCCCTTTCCCCGTTGGAGTCCTGGAGTCCAGCAGCTCCTCCCTTCTCTGACTTTTGAGGTCCAGGGAGGCAAAGGCCCCCATCAGGCGATCAAGGTTGGGCTTGGGGCGGGTGGCAGGGGGTGGGAGCCTCCAGGGGCCCGGTGCCAGCCCCGCTGCCTCCCCGATGCCCAGGGAGCTGGAGGAGGAAGAGTCGCTGGCTCGGGCCAGGCTGGCACTGAAGTCCAGGAGCTCATTCCGCACCATGAACTTGGGTGGAGCCTGCGGGGGCTGCCCTGCAGGCACACTTCCTAGGGGCGGCGGCTGGGCCCCGTTAGTTTGTGAGTACACGTTGCTGACAGCCGCTGCCATCTTCCCGGGGACCTCATGGTTGCAGACCTTGTAGCGCACCATGAGGATGACGATAAAGACCAGCAGAGTGGCCACGATGATGCCCCCGATGACCAGGATCATGGTACCTCCCAGGATCTGGCTGTGCATGGACTGACACTGCGGGTAGTCAGCCTTGGTGAAGAACTGGGCGCAGCCCACGATGTTGGTGGCCGTGAGTGTTGTGGCCGTGTCGTCCCACATGGCCAGCACGCACAGGTCATAGCCTGTCCCCGATACCAGGTTGTTGACTACGAAGGCCTTGTTGGAGGCTGGGATCATCCTGGGAAGGAAGGAGACACAGAGGGTCAGTGAAGGGACATGGAGACAGGGAGGGGACAGAGGTAAAAATAGAGAGGCAGTGACAGAGACAGATGCAGGATGGATAGTGTAAAGGGTGAAGAAACAGGACTCGGGCTGAGGGGTACCCACCGCTCATCTGTTGCTGGAACCCCTCCATCTCTGGAGTTAGGGCCTAGAGTCACGCCAACCCCCACCTCACTCTAGCCTGGCCCCTTGTCCTGTCCTCTGAGGTGGGATGGGACTGAACCTCTTTGGGTTGGACATTCGAGTTGGACCCTAGTGCCACCGTGGGCAACTGGGCCACCTTCCTCTCACCTGCAAGGCTTCCTGCTGGTTCAGGCTGGCACTCTGCTGCTTCGGGGCAGCACTGCGGACCAGAGAGTGTCCTGCATTCCCAGAGAACCCTCCTCACAGTCCCAACAGGGGGCGCCCTCCTGGCTCTCTTCCTGTAGGTGAGTCTGATGTCCTGTTATTCCCCGGCCTGTCCACTGCAGCCACAGCCCCTCCTCCTTGGACCTTCCATGACCCTGGACCAAACTCTGATCTTCAAGACCTTAGTGTCAGACTTCTGCGGTCTGGACCTGAGGGTGTCTGCTCCTCTGGGGCTCTCCCCTCCTATTTCTACTTGTGAAGGAGAAATAGCTCCACAGGCTCCCATCAGCCCCTCAAACTGGAGCCAGGTGACTTAATTGAGATCTCAAATATGAAATCCCTCAGGCCAAGTGCCTCAGCTCTGGCAAGCGATACTGGCATCCCATCTGTGCAGCTCGAAGGCTGCTGTCAGTGCTGGCTGCTGGGGAGGAGTCTCGGGCCCACCTGGATCCCACAGCACTGGACAGAAGAGGACAGAGGGGAAGGGAGACTGACTCAGCAAGGACTCTGCAGGTCAGACTTCACTGCCTCAGCTCACCTGGGGATCTAGCCATCTCGGGAGGCCGTGATCGGTACTGTCCTTGCATGGAGGATGGACAGCTGAGACTCAGAGAGGCTAAGTGTTGTCTGAGGTCACACAGCTGGGGCCACTGGATGGCAGCAGTGCAGACTTGAACACTAGGTCCTGGGTCCAAAGTCTGAGCTTGTCCCTCACTGTATGATGGACACAGGGTGCATTTCTACATTGGAGTAGAATGTCCCTGGCGGCTTGTGGCAGCCACCTTCTCCCCTGGAGCAGCACTAGAGCTTGTCATAGCTCTCATGCTACAGTGGGATCCCTGGTCAGCTAGGCTACCTTGGAGCAGGGCCAACGAACCCCGCGGGGGCCATGCTTCAGGGGTCCCCAGAATTCTCAGAGGTCGTGTTCCTTCCCTAGGGCTGATAACATAAGCTGGAGAGGCAGGAGCCACACACGCCCAGAGTCGAGAGACCAGCACCAACTAGAAAGAGTGTGCTGGGCTCGCATCCATCAGTCACTTCAGTTCTCAGTCACTGTCACCATCCTCATATGCAGATGGGGAGCCAGCAGCCCAGCCCCCGTCTGTTGGCGGTCACCACACTCCACCGCCTTGCCGATCCACATGCGATGTGACTGACTGTGCCGCCATCAGAAGACCCGGCTTCCATGTGAGCGACCCACCGAACTGCACCTTGCCATCTTGGCCTCCTGCCTATGCTCTGCACCCCACGCTTTACTTGTTCCGGTAGGAAAGCATGCTGGGACCGGAACTAGCCGGGCCTTGTAGAGGCAAAAGGCTCACTCTCAGAGGAACTGTTAAAGACCATAGGTACAAAGGACTAATGGCACAAAGGTGGCAGGGGGACCAAGGATTGTAGCAGGAAGCAGAGAGGATGGCAGGCCAGCCCCACCAAGTCATCTGTCCCCACTCCCCAGCTCCCCAGTCAGACAGTACGGGATAGCAAGCACTCAGGCTCTCTAGCCCTGGCCCTCACAGCCGAGCACAAGATGATTATCTGATAGTCTGTTTCCATTACATTCTCACAGAAGCATTGGTTTGCAGCAGGCCAGGAAGAAGTGAAGCTGGGCCTTCTGGAAGAGTCGCTGGCACACAGCTAGAGAAGGGTGGTGTCCCGGCCTTGGCATGTCTGACCCTTAGCCTGGGTAAGCTGAGGGCAAGGGCTTACTCTGCAGTGCAGGATGCTTCCCCACAGCCCTGGCCTCCACCCCAGGGTGCTAGGACACATCCCCACACCTCTCCCAATATCGCCCAGTGTCCTGTGTCAACATCACCCCTCACTGATACACAGCGGCTTGTGGGATTCAGTTGACAAACAGAAGTTGCTGGGGACCAGCTCGCAGGACAGGGACACAAAATGAGCCCACGCTCACTCTGCCCTGCCCGTCCCTGTACTGCTGGTCTCTACAGTGGAGCCCAAGGAGGACCAACCCTCACATGACACTGGCCAGCCTCCCTAGCCCAAGAGCTGGGGCAGGACAACGATCAGGGTGGCAAGTGGCAAAGACAGCAACTTCACAGCCAGCGGTGTGTAGCCTGTCTGCAAAACATGTTCCTGAAACCCTGGTGCGTTTCCCTCCATCATAGAAACTGGCGACATCGCTGTTAGCAGAAAGCATGAATTGCTCTTTTAAGTTGCTCCAATGTGTTAAATTTCATTAAACTCACACGCTCTAAACACAATTGGAGATTGCAGCGCCAGCACTTACCCAGGAAAAACAAAACAAACCAGCTCTCTCTCTTTCTTTCTGTCTCTCTCTTCCCCCGTCTCTTTCTGTTTCCCTCCACTTGGCATTTGTTCATTCTATATAACACTAGGACACAAATCCATGGCTGACCACAGAGATCTGAGAGGAATTCACGGAGCAACCTGATCAGCCTACTGTTTGCTCTCAGATCTGCGTCCCCCCTCCCACATGACCTCTGCGCAGCTGGAACTACATTTCCCAGGATCCTTCCCGCCCTCAGACTGGGGTGGAGGGGGGTAGGAGGAGAAGCCGGGTATAGCATGGAAGTCTCTCTTTTGCTTCTGCAAGTGACCCTCCTGTCCAGTGTCTGAATCTCCTGTGACCCCAGCTTGGTAGAGAGTTGGATCCTTCTGCTCACATTTTTGGGGTGTTCTTCCAGCCTTGGAGGTGAGGGTGGCAGTGGCTTCCTGCTGTTGTAAATCTCTGTGATGCTCACGGTCCTCTGGTTGAGTTCAGTGACTCTATTGTCCTTATAACCCAATCCTTGAACTGAGTTCCCTTCAAAAGACCCAGAATGTTCTCTTTCTTCTGACTGGATCCTGTCTGGCACAGGGAGATCACGCTTATGTCGGATAACCTAACATCACTGGGATAAAATCCTCACTCCTCAGGCAGTGGCTCACATCTGGGGTATACCTAGCAGAATTCCAGTGGGGAGCACTTTACCCCCCCCCATCATGCCCACCCCAGCTGCTCACTGCTCCCTGAGTAAGCCGACCCCATCCACTGCCAATGACTCTCTTCCCAGGAGCCTGGTCTCCCTCCTAAGGGATGCATCCTTGAAGGCCTCGCCCACCCCCGGCTCTCCCATTGCCTTCAGCCCCCATTCCCTTTGTCTGTGGGAGTCTTTCTCCCCAGGAGTATCTGCTCAGGCCACCTCTGCCATGAGCACTGGGCCTGTCTTCTCTCAGGACCCTCTTCTAAGCAAGAGCTGGGGCCTGGAGCCCAGCTGTGGCTGCCCGGGAAAGAGAAGCGTCTGTTGCTAGGTGTTGAGGTGGACGGCAGTGATGAAAGGTTGTTTAGATGCCCAGGTGCCCAGCTGGCTAGCAGTGGTTTCTGGGGCACTGGCTGGCTCTGAGGAGATCATTTGGGATTTTTTTTTCTGTACATTTGAGGCTCACCTCGTGGTTCCTGTAGACTGTTCGTGGGTGTACATGGATGAATTTGGGGTGTGTGTGTGTGTCTTGGCATAGGTGGGGAGCATAGATGTGTGTATGGTTTGTGTGTGTGTGTGTTTGGGCATAGGTGGGTGGGTGTGACACATGAGTCTGCTCCTAGGGAGCAACAGCCACTGCTCTTCCCCCTTCCAGGAACCCTCCCCCAGTGTCCCGACACATGGAGGGGACTCCCTGCCTGACTGCTACAGACAGCTGCAGGACAGCCTGTTCTTTCCCGATGGCACAGAGAGTTTGCCACCCAGCAGAGGCCCTAGCGAATGGGAAAAAGAGAGGGAAAGAGAGGGGAGAAGAGAGGGAGGGAAAAGGGAATGAGAGAGGGAAATGGAACGGGGAGAGGAACAGAAGCGAGAATTCAGGTGGGATGGGGCGGGGCTGGGCATGGAGGGGAATGAGGGGGATTCTAGGAGTGTCTTCCCGGGCCTCGTGGTAACGCTGTGACATGCAGCTGTGTCCCCTTGGTGGTCTCCATCTGGACCTTGTTCCTCAGCACCCTGCAGTCAGGGGTGTCCCAGGGACACACTTTGGCACATGAAGTAGGGAAAGCAGCACGGGCCCGGTCTCCCCACACACTCCCTCTCTGCTGTTGAACCTGGTGGTGTCCTGGCCTTGACTGTGCTGCTCACAGGCTGACGAGGCCTGCAGCAGCCTGAAGTTCCCTCCCATGAGGAAGGCCCAAAGGTCTGGAGTCAGAGGTGCCCTGAGGTTTCTGCAGCCTGGCATCCGGGGAGGCCCTGAGCCTATAGCCTGGGTAAGAGCAGGGAGCTGGGGTGGTGCAGGGTGTGATGGAGGAGAGATAAAGAGACTGAGGGACAGGGAGAGAGGGAAGGGAAGGCCTCAGTGCCGGAGGAAATAAAGTCCTTGCTTCTTCACAAATACCCCTCTTCTACCTTTGCAGTCCGCCCCCTGCAGCAGCACCCTCTGCAGGCCTCTGTGCCCCATCTGAGAGGCACCCACTGCCTGCTGAGCTCTGCACTCCTTTGGAGAGGCCTCCTCTGCTCCCAGCTCTCCAACCTCATGCCCAGCCCTGCCAACCTCCCCGCCAGCCTCTATGTCTCAGACCTGGGACCTGACTCCCAGCTGCCTGCAGCTTGTGCACCCAGGGGGGCTGTCCGCCACCCTGCACTGACTGCAGGGGCAGGAGAG